TCCTTTCCCTCGGGGGTGGCCCCCGTGGCTGCCCTGAGGTGTCGGGGATGGGCCTTTACCTCAGGGAAGGCCCCAGCTGCCACCCAGAGGCCCCATGGATGTGCCTTTACTTCAGGGATGTCCCCCAGCAGGTGCCCTGAGGCCCTGTGGATGGGCCTTTACCTCAGGGAAGGCCCCAAGTGCCGCCCTGAGGCGCTGCGGATGGACCTTTGCCTCAGGGATGGTTTGCAATGGCCACCCTGAGGCACTGGGGATGGGCCTTTACCTCGGGGGTGGCCTCCATGGCTGCCCTGACGCTCCGGGGATGGGCCTTTACCTCAGGGAAGGCCCCAACTGCCACCCTGAGGCGCTGCGGATGGGTCTTTACCTCAGGGAAGGCCCCATGGCTGTCCTGAGGCCCCAGGGATGGGCCCCATGGGTGCCTCAAAGCCCTATGGATGGGCCTTTACCTCAGGGATGGCTCCCAGTGGCCGTCCTGAGGCCCCATGGATGGGCCTTTACTTCAGGGAAGGCCCCAACTGCCACCCTGAGGCCCCAGGGGTAGGCCTTTACCTCAGGGATGGCTCCCAGTGGCCATCCTGAGGCCCCAGGGATGGGCTTTTACTTCAGGGATGGCCCCCAGCAGGTGCCCTGAGGCACCATGGATGGGTCTTTACCTCAGAGAAAGCCCCAGTTGCCGCTGGGGATGGGCCTTTACCTCAGGGATGGCTTACAATGGCCACTCTGAGGCTCTGGGGATGGTCGTTTACCTCGGGGGTGGCCCCCATGGCTGCCCTGAGGTGTCGGGGATGGGCCTTTACCTCAGGGACTTTACCTCAGGGAAGGCCCCATGGCTGTCCTGAGGCCCCAGGGATGGGCCCCATGGGTGCCTCAAAGCCCTATGGATGGGCCTTTACCTCAGGGATGGCTCCCAGTGGCCACCCTGAGGCCCTATGGATGGGCCTTTACCTCAGGGATGGCTCCCAGTGGCCGTCCTGAGGCCCCATGGATGGGCCTTTACCTCAGGGAAGGCCCCATGGCTGTCCTGAGGCCCCAGGGATGGGCCTTTACCTCAGGGAAGGCCCCAACTGCCACCCTGTGGCCCCAGGGATGGGCCTTTACCTCAGGGACGGGCCCCACGGCTGCCCTGACACCCTGGGGATATGCCTTTACCTCAAGTTTGGGCCCTGGGGATGGGTCTTTACCTCCGGGATGGCCCTGCGCTGCCTTTGCGGTCTCCTGCAGCTCCTTCTGCGGCACAGGCTGCCGTCAGTGCAGGCCATGTCGCTCACGGAGCAGGGATCTGTTTATTTCCCTAATAAAATCCCTTGTTTAGCTGCCGTCATACGTGACCTGCGGGGTTTAGCTCCCAGGCCCAGGGGGCTCCGTGCAGGAATCGTACTTGTACTTTTATCCCTCTCCGCTCAGCCCCGAGCTCCAGCGGCTTCTGCTCTCCCTCCGCCATCCCCTTTGGCAGCTTGGTCCTGGTTCTCCGTGCTCTGTCCTGCCTCCATCTTCCAACGCACCCTGGAGGGTGCCCATAGCCACCTGGCCGGGTAGTTTTGATAACTTTCCCTTTAATTCTGCAGCTTTTCACTTTCCCCTGGCTCTGTTTTCTATTTTAAAGCCCAGTAACATCATTTTGGCTCTCTTGTAGGTTATTACCGTTGCTCAAGCACGGAGCCATCTGTGTTTTCAGACAGCCTCTTGTCTGTGTTGACAGGCATGGGGATCTCCCCCGATTTCGGGTTACATCAGGCTGCCTGAGCCGTCTTGAGCTTTCCCAGAGCTCTTCGGGCTTTGAATACACAAAGTTTTGTGGCGTTTTAGGGGCCGTTTCCTCTGTTCTATTATTAACGCGCATCAATTATTGCTCTTCTAGAGTTTGATCTGTGTAAATCCCTACTAAAGAGCCTTGTAGTTTTTCTTTCCTCTGCCTTGCGTGGGACCTGCTGGTGTAAAGGTTGGAAGCGAGATGAAGGGCAGCCGAGCGCGTGTTTGTGCCCGGGAGGCCAACAGGAATGGAGAAATGGAGAGCTGCTTTTTTGTTTTTTTTTTTTTTTTTTAACAGATCTTCAATTGGACTGGACCTGCCCTGACTATCAATAATACATGACCTGGGCTTTCTGCACTGAAACTCTGCTAATTGGCTAATTAAAAAGTGAAACGTGCAGAAGGAGCCAACGCGTCACTCACAAGAGACTCCTTTCTGCAGCAATGCCAAGGCTGAGCGTGTGCTAATGCGATTTATCAAGCTGAGCCGGGGGTGAGCGAAGCTCCAGGGTAGTCTCAGGAGCCGAGAGGATGATTTCGTAACCAGCCTTCTCGCGGTTGGCTTCTCATTGTGTCTTGCCTTGCCGCTGTGTCTTCTTTTTTTTAATCTTTTCTTTTTTTCCCCCTCCCACCCCCCCCAAACTTTTCTTTTAAAAGGGAAGAAGGATGCGCAGTTCCTTGCAGCGCTGGGAGGTTTGTGGCCGGGGAGAGCTTTTGACTCGTGTTTCTTCCCTGCGCTGCTCTTTTCCTCCGCGTTAGCCTTCCCACGGGCGGCTTTTTTCAGAGGAAAGGGATTCTTTTTTTCAAATCATTTGTCTCACACCCCGTTTCCCACAGAGAGCGCCCGTGTCAGGAATGAAAAGCGAGGGGAAAAAGCCGGGGGAACCCCAAAGTTTTTCCTCCTGGGGTGCTCTTCTTGCACAATCCTCTTTTCCAGGATGTGGCGTGCTCCTTCCAGGCTCCTGGAGCAGACCAAGGCTGTAACGTGTGGGGTTTTTTTTTTCCTGTTCTCCGCAGATCGTGGACACCTTCTTTATAGGCCGCTTCGTTCTCCTGGCCGTGATGAGCCTGGTCGTGCTTGGGTGCCTGTTCCTGCTCCTGATTTACCACCTCATGGAGCCGGTGTACGCCAAACCACTCCGCAGCAGCTAGCGGCAACCGGAGGCAGCAATCGCCGCGAAGAGGAAATCCCAGTTTCACAGCAAGAAACCAGGATGGGAGACCAGGAGACTATTCCCGTCAGTTGTTTCGAGCTCGGAAAGAGACAGCGAAGTGCGTCGCTCGCACCCAGTGCTGCATCTTTCATCTTGAAAAGCGAAGTTTTGGACTGAGCATGAGCGCCTTCCTCTCCAGGGACTCTGCAGGCTGCAAAGGTGCTTTAACCCTTCTCTTCTTTTCTCTTTTCCAGGAGAGCTGAAATCCACGCGCTCTGTACTACATTGAATGAATTGAACTGAACCCAGATGGTTTGTTATCTTTAGCCCCACGAGGTGGTTTTATCATTCCTTTTTCACTTTTAGTTTAATAAAACTCTCTGAGAAACCCCTGACTCGGTCTTTATTTATTCTCCAGGAACGGTCACCTTTTGCCACCCTTTGGTGACAGCGTCTCTTCCGAAAACCAGTTTTTCCCGTGGCGGACGTGGGGGTTTTTGGAAATTCAGCGTGGGGGCGTGGATCGTTGGGGACGGTGGCTTTGGAAACCTGAGCCTTTGGAGTGGGAACAAAATAATGCGGCAACGGGCAAGTTAAAATCCCCCCCCTCCGCAAGTATGCAGAGGAAAGACAGGTCTCACCGCCCCGTGCTAAACAATCCTGCCAGCCCACCAAAAAGAAAACCAAAACCCTGTTGCTTTTCCAGGACTGTGGTAATCCCCGAGTGTCTCCCACGGGTGGCAGGACCCCACGCTGTCACCCTGGGAGGGAAGCCGAAGGCTGGTGGTTTCTGCTCTCCTAAAACATAAAACCTCACTCACAGTAGTGCAGTGAGCCGGTAGTCGGCTCCGATACCTTTCCTCTCTGGGAGGGGAAACCCACTTTTTATGTTGTTCAGCAGCGGCGTTGGGGTCAAATCCCATTTTTTCTCCCTGTTTTTTTTTTTGCCATGGGAATGGAGGGTACCGACCGGGCCAAGGCTGGTGCTGGCTGCGTGTCCGTACTTAACCACCGATAACAACTGCTTTGCGCCGCTTTAGCTATCCTTCAGTAGCGATGGGTTGATTTTCTTGCATGAAATCTCACCAAGCTTTTTCACTTGCTCGCAGGAAAAAAGCCGGAGCGTGGTGTGAGCCTTTCGGAGCAGGGAAGGAGCCTTTTCCATCCCTACTGCGCCGGGGAGAGGTTCCCACAGGTTCCCCGGCGGTAGCTGGGTGAGGTGAGTTATGTTACAGCTCCCGGTTTTCCGGCCCTGGAGGGATGGAGCCGCTCAGCCTTTCACGGTTGAGCGGGCAGCAGGTATTGCTGTGAGGTTGAAGGCGAGTGCGAGACAGATGCCGCAGCCCTCAGCTGTGTTCAGGGGCAATACAGCCAAAAAACCTGAGGGCGAGAAACTCGTAGCTCTCATTTTCATTTTTGAACCGAAGGTGGTGAACAGGAAAGAAAAGAACCGACCGGCTTCTCCCAGTCCTGTCCTGCCAGCTGTCAGTCACGGAATATCGCTGTCAGGACATGAAAGATTAATAAGGCAGAGCTTAGCGGGCTCGGAGACGACGCTTCCCCTGCAGAAAATGCCCCAGCACCCAGGAGCCCTAACTCGGTCAGCTAAAAAAGGTGTAAGTACATTTCAAAAAAAGGCGGAGGCGAGGTGTCTCTGCTTCTCCAGCCGCGTAAACGCTCAATCCCTTCCTATCCCGCAGCCTATGGCCAAGGGAGTCGAACTATCGTGTTAAGGAACACGCCGAGCATTTATGCAACACAAGCGTGTCGGGTCTCTTGGTGATTTTGAAGTTACGCCTGAAACAAAATTCATATTTAATTCATCATCTTAATAACGTTTATGAACACGAAGCTAGTCTTGCAGCTCGCTCCGGCTCCGCGCCTGCCGTGTCTTTATTCCTCGTGCGAGAGCAGCGGGCCGGTTCGCAGAGCCTCGGTGAGGCTGCGGCGGCAACCCCCGCCAGCCGGAGAACGGCAGCACTTTGCCCGGCTTCCAGTCCGACGAACGGGGAAGCCGCCGCAAAAGCAGCTGGCACACTAAAAAAAAAAAAACAAACAACCCAAAACCAAACACAAAACCCCAACCCTAAAAGCAGAAATGTGAAGCTTCTTCCAGTTGCGCGCCGTAAATAAACCCAAGGTGTTTGCTTTTTCTGTCCCCCTTAATCCTTTTGTGACTAAAACCAGTTGAAAGGCTCATCGCGCGGGGAGGTATTTTGGGGGGAAACGGAAAGCCGCGCTGCAGGAGGGATGCGGTGGCTCTTGCACGAGGAGGCTATTTCAGCACTTTCCCCAAAAATCCCATTAATTGGGGAAAGAGCCGCATGTGCTCTCACCCCCCACCCCCCAAGACATTTCGAGTTCCCTCCTCATCCTTCGCCACCCTTGGCGACGGGGAACAACCAGCTGGATGAACTCAGCCCGGGCTCTCTCCCCGTATTTATTTATTCTGGGTAATTCTGCTCCTCCCTGCGCAGGGGCTTTCCAGACAGTTCCTGTTTATTTTTGGGAAAAGAAAGACCACGTCAAGGAATTGGTATGAGCCGGAGCTGCTTTCCAGCCAGCCCCAAATGGTGATTTTTGCTGCTATCCCCCACCCAAACCTTCAGCTCCTGGAGGATAACCTCTCGCCAGCACATCCGCCGCCGTCTGGCACCCTGATTATTGGGTTTTGTTTTTTTTCGCAATTAATGTGTAGCAGGAGGGCGGCTTTGGCTTAAATCCCAACTTCCCAGTCGCTGGCGAAGGTGTTGGGAGCTCGGGAGATGTTAGAGCCGAGGAGCCCTGCTCCGACCCAATTTTCTCCCAAAACTGCGAGCAAACGTTCCCGCTTTTCTTCTTACAGAGCGAGAGCGCTGGGTGCTCCGCGTCTGGAGCCCTGTGCAGTCAAAAAAAACCCTGCTAAACCCCAGCGAGAGAAACCTGCCGTGCCAAAAGGGATGTTTGCACAAGATACCGTCCGCGCCAGGAGGAGGGCGGCCAAGCTGCTTTCGGGTCAGGTGGGAAAACAGCCCTTTCCCCCACCCCCACCCCCCCATCCTTAAATTCCCCGCCTGGCTCGTTTGAAACGAGCAAGGATGTTTCCGCAGCGGGATGCTGGTACCCAGCTCCTCGCGGGTTCACAGCACCGGAGGGCAGCTGCTCCCTCCTGCCCGAGGCCGAGCGGGGATGGAGGGAAAAAGCGAGCGCCTGCAGGAGAAACTCCTCTCCTTGATTTAAGATCCTTGAATGACGGCAATTCCTCACGCCTCGTGCTGCGCTCTGCCGGCACTTAATTACCCTCACTGGTAAAAGCTGGCCTCTTATTTCCACCTTGACTTTGCTGACTTCAGCTTCCCTGCCGTTGAGTCCCGCTTTGCCTTTGGCTGCTAATTAAAAAGCCCTTCAGCGTTCGCCGCCTGCTCCTTGCATAGGTAATTACGGACCGTGCCCCAGCCACCTCTTCACCTTCACAGCAGCCCGACGACATTCCTCCAAAATACGTGCAACCCCTTCCCAGGCTGCCGCAGCCAAAAACGCTATTGCCGTGATGTCACCTATAGAAAAACGGGTTTCTAACGAGCTCGTTTGAGGCGCGCGATGTATTTATTTCTTCCCCCCCCCCCCCACCCCCTCCGCAGGACAGCGGCAGGAGCGTGTTTGTGCTCTCCCGGCTCGCACAGCCCCCTCGCCGCGACGCTCGTGGCAGGGGGAAAAGCAGCGGCCCCTTCTCCGGCGGAGGAGGAACGAGACGAGGTGAGTCGTGTAGATTTCTCCCGGAGGAGCTGGGCTCGATTTAAACAGCCCTTTGGCCGGGGCAAACCCAGGGGATCCCCCCCCTGCTTTCCTGCCCACCCCTCAGTCTCTAAAATCTCAGTGAGATCTGGGGTTTTCTTTGGCATTTGGCTCCTTTTTCTTTTCTTTTTTTTTTTTTTTTGTTTTTTTTTTAAAGTTTAAAACTGCCACGGGCCGTTTGCCCTTTCTTCCTCGCTCCCAGCAGCGCAGCCAAGGCTGCTCAGACTTTCCAAACACGAGCGGGACGTGACCCAGGCCTAAATTTGTCCCGGAAAAACTATGAGCAGCTGAAAGAACAGGCAGGAGGGAGTCGGGGAGGGGAAAAGAAGGGAAAAAAACCCCACCAAAACCACCAAACCACCTTGCTTTTGCGATAAGCCCCCGTGTGCGTCAGGGCTTGTAGGATTTTTTGGCTTAAAAACGTATTTCAAGCCCCCCTTGTCCGCCTCCACGAGGTGGATGGCAGTTAAGCCAAGTGAAAGCTCAGTCACACGTGCACCGAGATAGCCGTTCTCAGCCCAGCGCGTGGCATCTCTGCTGCCATCGTTGAGCCGCCTGCCCTCCGAGGCCGCCTTTGCCAGGAGCAGCCTGGGGATGCCGCGGTGTCAGCCCTTCGTCTCTGCTGAGGACGGACCCTGTCGTGATGCTTCTCCCTATGGCTCCGTCGGGGTTTGCCCCAGGGGAGGGTTATTTTCCTGGGAATAAAGGTAACCGGAGATTCGGCTTTTCTCTGCCTGCCCCATCGTTTCTCCTGCGCTCTCTCCCAGGGATCTGCAGGCAACCCGTGAGATTTCAAGCGCCGCTGAGCATCTCCGGTCAGCGTGGAGGAGACCAAAGGCCATTGCCGTCCGGCCACCCGAACGTGCGCCGCTCTCCGAGTTGCCTGTTCCCCCCCGTGCCGCTCCATCGCCTTGCAGGGGTTTCCAGGGAGCTGATCCAACTGGCCAACAGGTTTTTTTCTTTTTTTCTCTTTTTTTTTTTTTTTTTTTTCCCCTTCGCTGATGAAATCAGCACTTAATAAAATCACATCGGGCCCAGATGTTTTCTCCTCAGGTTAAGATCCGAGGAGGTGAAGTCAATTAGTGTTCAGATTTATACCGGGCGTAAACACAGCTCCCCCGGCACCCGGCGCTTGCTCTCTCCTGGGCGGAGAGCCGGAGCCTGCCCCGGTGCGATCCCTCGACGGCGAGCACGCTGGGAAAGGCACCCCACAGCTCGCAAACGCCCCATGCGCCCCGGCTCCGCGCACATCAAATTTGGGTCTCCCCCAGAGAGCGCACAGCTGGCTGCACAGCTGGCCCCTGCCTTAATCAAGGGATGCTGCTGGGGTCTCCCAGACCCACCTCTGCCCAGGGGAAACGCACGGCTGCCCGCGCCGGGTTAACATCCCAGGGGCTCCTGGGCGCCTGTCACACAGCTCCTCCTAATTAGGAAGCTTTTAACGAAGACCATCAGCTGCTTGTGCTGGACTGAGAGTGGCCACGGTGTGCCAGCAGCTGTTTGCCGTGGGGTGGGGGCTGATGCGTGGCTATGTGTCCTTCTTTTGGGGCTAAATAGTATGAATTAAGAATCCTGATAATCAGGAGAAATGCTGTTGTGTTGTGGTTTGTTGGTTTTTTTTTTGCAGTGGGATGAGATGAGGAGCAAAACCAGCTTAATTAGGGCTCAGTGAAAAACCCAGGGATGTTCTCTACATAGAATAAGCAGCGCTTTGTCGGGGAGACAGTGCCTTAAGTGATTTGGCGCAGTCCTCCTGCTCCAATATCCTGAAATACCGAGCGCTGGGATGGGGCGGGCTTGCCAACGAGAGGCTGTGCGTGGAGAAAAGCGATCATCGCCCCCGAGTTCACGCAGAGCCGGCCGAGCCCCCGCCAGGAAGCGGCACGGAGTGGCAACACAGGTTTCGCATGTTTTTATTAATAAAACAGCCGACGGCGAAGAATCGTCCCAGAAAACCGGTCGGCCGGGGCCCTCGGACTGCTCCTCGCCGCTGCCTCCCTCCGAAGCAAACCCGTGGTGGCGGTAGGAGCTTGCGGGGCCGTGCCTCGGCTCTGCCGAGACCAACACGCTCCTGGCGTGCCCCAGCCTCTCTCCTCCCTCCGGGCCTCTTGGCTCCGGGCGGTTCGCGGGGGGACATGTCAAAATTCCTTAAACCTGCGGGGAGAGAAGCGAAGCGGCTCAGCACGGCGAGCGCCATTCGGCAGGTGTTGGGATCGATGACGGGAGCCGTGGTGCTGCTGCAGAGATGGAAAGGGAAAACGGCTCTGTCGGGCAACCCCCAGCCCCGTCTGCACCGCAAGCCCGGAGGAGAAACGGGCGCAAAGAGGAGATCCAGCCACCGTTGTCTCCGGGCAAAGCTGAAAAACCCCCAAAAAACCCCGGCAAGTGTTTGCGCCTCCTCTCCACAAGCTGCTCCGGAGACAAACGCGCTCCCCAAAGCCCTCTAAGGCATTGCAGGATTTCCACAGACTGAGCCAGCTGCTTCCCCCAGCACAAACCAGATGGATTTTGGTGCAAACGGGGATGGTGCCAACCCGGCCAGGACAGTCCTCGCCCCAACCAGCTCCGGCACAAGACAGCAGAGCCTGACAGCCCTCCACCGGCGGCCAGAGAAGGAGATTTGGGCCGCACTTACCGCAGCGCGAGGCCCAGATTATTGGTCTTTCACCTGCAAACACAAGACATAAAGGACCAAACGTTTTGGCGGGGGGTCCGGAGTCTGGCCCCCCCACCACTGGACTGGCTGCAGCCCCTTCCCCCTTGGTGCTCGCGGTGGGGCTTCGGTGGCAATCGGAGACAGGCCAGTGCTGATTCGGAGATTATTTACACCCTCGCTGCAGTGGTTCGGCCACGGATTTGATTAGCCAGCCCGCACTCTGTGTAATCAAGCTCATTAGCACGGGTGGGCAAGTCAGCCTATAAATTCAGCCGTTTCAAGTGCATTAATCAATGCAAATCAACCGGGCGTCCGGGCTAACGTCTCATAAGTCGGCCAGAGACAAGGATGCGCTGCCCACCCGCCCGTCCACGCTCTCTTCCCTGGCCATGGCGATTTGATCCCTTGATTCCCAAATCTTGATCTCAGCCCTTAAATTATCAGCGGAGCGGCTGTTTCTAGGCTGAGCCTACAGAGTGAAAGTCGAAATCGGAATGAATCAGGCTTGCGTTTGCATTTAATCTTCGGGGCTTAAGCGGGGCTACTCACACCGAGCTACTTCCCATCCAGCACTGACTCTGTTAGCTGCACGCTAGAGCTACAAAGACACAAGTATGGCATCTTTAGCACCGAGAGAGTTTCGCGAGGCACGGATCGCTAAAATCCCCCCGGGTGCTGCCCTGGCTCGAGGTGGAAATGTCTTTGTGCCCAGAGGAGCGAGACGTCGGGCAGACAGCCTCGTGATGCCGGCATGGGGGTGCAGCAGTGACAGCAAGGGGTAGCAAACATCTTTCCAGAGCGGCACGCACGCTGCGTTTTGGCATTGAGGGCCCAGAAGCCGCCCCGGGACGGTACGTACGTACCCTCTCTTCCTTGCTATGCAGCCGCACCACCCACGGACCTCTTTCACCACCACTCGAGCGAGGAGCTGCAAGAGGAAAGGTGGAAGATCACCATGGGGCCGATGGCTCTGCAGCCGCCAGCCTCGGCATGAGCGTTTCCATCGCCGGGAGATAGATTTTTAAGGCCCTTCCTTCTTTAGTCGCATGAACTAAAACCATGCGTGGAGGAGGTCGCTGGGAAAAAACCACGTGGATGGAGGCAACGGTTGTCTCCTGAGGACTACCTCCGCTGGCGAGCGGGCAGCTACAAAGGACCTCTTGAATATCCAGGGTAGCAAAACGCTGAGGAGGGACCTACCAGGCAAGCCAAGACGTCGGCTGCTATCAACATGTAGAAGACGTTATTCCAGCCCGTAGGGGAGATGAGCCCTGCGAGCAGCGGCCCCAGCGCGGCACCTGCGAGGGGGCACGAGGCACATTAGGAGATGCCCCGTGCATGGGGGAGAGGGGACCGGTACCCCCCGCCAGCACTGCAGCGCAGGGGAAATCGGCACTCGGCACCCCCTGAATGTACGTACCTATAGATCCTGTGCCGTCGATGATGGCCGTGACGGTAGAAAGGGCTTTGGCGTTTCCTTTGAGAGATTCGTGGGTTCCCTGTAGGGATGGAGGAGAAAAACGTAAGGAGGAAAAGTGGCACCGGGATTGTGCGTAGAGGGAGATGCGAGGGGGCTAAAGCGGAGTCGCGCAGCCAAGGTGAAAAAGCAATAGGAAAAAAAGCCATGTTTAAGGGAGGGTGCCGACCGCGGCATGAGGAGGTGTGACAGCCCTGCCCTTCTCTGCTGGGCTTCAGAGGCATTGGAAAACAAAGCTAAAATGCAAAAATCCCAGCAAACATTCCTCCGGGAAAGAAGGAGCAGCCCTTGGTTGTGCAAGGCAGCTGGGGCGAGGGGGGCGAGGTGCGCTTCTTACCAAATCTGCCGAAACTGCTGTCGTGATGAGAGCGTACGGCCCGTTAACCAGAGCGCCGCAGACGATCAGCATCGCTACGAGGAACGAGGCAGCCGCGGAGGTACCCAGGAAGAGATCAAATCGTTAAGTGCAGGGAGCAGCAGGGCGTCGGGTCCATCGTTCCCGGCCCGTGCGCGCACATCGCTGTCCTGCGCATCCATCTCCTGCGCATCTCCCATTTTCCCCAGGACATCCCACCCAGCAGGCAGCAAACGCTCGTCCAGCACCACCCTCCCCCAAATCCCGGTTTGGGAGCCCATCTCGAGAGAAGAAATAAAGGCAGGTGAGTCTGCAGCATCTCCCGTCGCCCCTTCGGTGCCGGGAGCCGGCTGCACCAAGGAACTCCTTACCTATTGATGTGCCGATGCCGTTCTGGCCGATGTGGTTATACAGGAACAGCTGGAAAAAAAGACACAGGATGAACCAGTTTAGGGTTATTCCAGTTGTTTTCCCAAGCGTTTCCCCTGCAGCAGCACCGCAGGAACAGGACGGAGAAAGGTGGGGACCTGAATTATCGCCGGCGCCAAACTTCGCAGCCCCCCCTTCCCTCTACACGGCGTTTGAAGAGGAGAGTGCCAGCCGGGACGGGGAGCCGAGCGCGCCCTTGGCTCCGCATCCCGCCGTCTGCCTGCCAGATGAAATACCTGGCAGCTGGCAAACGGAGGTGCTGCCGCGATTTATGGCCCGGCGAGGCTCGCGCGCCTCCCCGCCGGCTGAAGCCAGACGGTAATTTGCCCCACCGGTGCTATCGGGGGACGTGGACGTGACGCGGCCTCTCTCTGCTTTTCAGCGCGCGCCACCTTCTTCACAGGGGAGAGGCTCGCAACCCAGAGCCAGCCAGGCTTGGGTTACAGCTAATTAGCCGCGTTTTTGGCGGCAGCAAAGCCAAACGAGCTCTGTGCAGGTGCTCGGGAAGGCCGTCCCGGCCAAGCGCCGGCAGAGCATGAGGCCGTCGACGTGGGGGCTTTTAGGATGCAAAGCAAAGAGATGAAAAGCTTGACCAGCTCGGTGGGACCCCCAAGGCTTTAGACAGAGCAGGGTTATGGCAGGATGGAGGTAAAAAAAAACCATAAAGAGGTGGTTTTTTTGGGCTGTCAAGGACTCCACAATCCCCTCCCAGCCCCCAGATCTGGACAATCCACCCCGGGAACGTCTGGCCACGTGGACGGATCCCAGCGCTCGTCTCAGCCAAGCGCATGACCTGGGCGCTTGGGAAGAGGAAGGCGGCCGTGACTCAAAGGAGCCAGAGGAGAGGAAACCCTCGTGACTGGGTTGTGTTTTTCCCCTTTTTTTTCTCGTGACAACACACCAGGGGAGCAGCGACGACCAGCATCACGCAGCACGTGGTGGCTCTGCCGCCGGTGTAGTCGGAGATGAGGCCGGCGAAGATGCCCCCTGCAAGAAGGAGTCACAGGTGTCTGTCACGCCGCCCCAGCAGCAAAGCTTCACCCTGGCTCAACCCCAAATCCCACGGGATGCTGCTGCGCCGTGATGCTCTTTCACCCCCCAACTTTTGAGCGAGATGCCCCCAAGGTTAAATACAATAATATCAGAGTGAAGAGTTTTGATTTATCCCTGCTGCTTTCTCCCGGCAGATTGTTTCCATACACCTGCGCGCAG